TAAACCCTAAACCCTAAAAACCATCAGGTTGGGGATTAATCGCAGTCCCCGTGATCATGGAATATCCTGCGACGGCCATCATCTTCATGGGCTCGCTGCTGACCTTGGTCTTTGGTGTGCTGAATCTCATCGTAGCCGTCGTTGTGCCTTGCTCCGGTTTAGGGCTTCCAGCCCAGAGAGCCCCATACCCCTTAATTAAGTAAGATACCTTTAAACCGGTTTAGGGTCTAGGGTTTAGGGTTTAGGGTTTTGGTTTAGGGTTTAGGGTTTAGGGTTTAGGGTTTTGGTTTAGGGTTTAGGGTTTAGGGTTTAGGGTATATTATTAAGGCCCCTATAATTTAAGGTCTATTCCTTATTTGAGGGGTATTGGGCTCTCTGGGAAACGGGTTTGCAAGGGTTTACCAGGATGATGCTAAGGAGGTTCAGGGCTTGTAGAGACTAGGGTTTTGAGCTGAGGGCCTCAATAATGACGTATGCTAATGTAGGGGGGGGGGGTGGGGGGGTGGGTCCTTAGTATAGTTATAGTATAGTATGCCCCAAAACCCTATTCTAATTATGAAGGCCCCTATATTATATGGTTCAGAGGCGTGTAGGGCTCAGTGGTCTGTTCCCATATCGCATCCATCTTTGGAGGCTCTCCAGTCCGAACTTATTCCCTGTGTTTCTTGCTTTTTGACTCCTAGAGCATGTTTCTGCAATCATCGTTTAGGGTTTAGGGTTGACCAAAACGCCTAACATTCCAAACTTTGCAACTTTTAGGGTTTAGGGTTTACCAAAACCCCCTCAAATTCCAAACCTTGCAACCCCAAGCCATGAACCCCTTCGCCTGCACTTATTTATGTGTCGATATGCGTGCTTGTGGTCGGGGCACACTGAGAGGTTCTTCAGTTCAGTATCTTGTGCATTGACACCATATCGATAAGGTGTGTTGTTAGGGTTTAGGGTTTAGGGTTTTGGGTCTTGACGGGCTAGGGCCAAGGGTCTAGAGCTAAGGATTCGAAATTAGGGTTGCAACTGCCATGGGTTGAGGGTTCAAGGCTCGAAGACGCGTTGTCAAGGCTTCTACCATCTCTTTGTGGGGCTTTAGATAGGGCATGAATAGCTGCTCAAGCAAGAAGCTCTTCCTTGGTGTGTAGAGCTTTATGGATCCATGTCGAGGGAGTTTCAGCTTGTGACTTAGTGTAGAGGACTAGCTTTCTCCACAGAGATGAGTCGGACCGGGTGCTTTCATCCGCGCATGTTAGAACGAGTGGCCTCAGAATAGCTAACTTTACGTTTCTGATGACACTGTTTTCCGGGCCGCTTAGAAAAACTCTCCCACCCACACTCGTAAAATTCATGTTAGTGCATCTAACCTGAACCCCCCACATGCTACAATACAGACCGCTAAACCCGCAGCCGCTGCAAACCCCGAACCCCAATTAAGCCGCAAACCCCTCAAACCCTACAACCGAAATGCCCTGCACCGCAAGCCCTAATACCCCAAAGCCCTAGAAGAACCCTAAAAGCTCGGTTGCCTATATAGTGGGTAGACTACTGCCCTTAAAGTACCCATACCCCAGTAACTTACTGTATGGGTAACTGGGCTCTGCGGGAGAACCTCACGCCTAAACCCTAAGACCTAAACCCTAAACCCCTAAACGCCTAAACCCCTAAACCCTAAACCCTGAACCCCTAAACCCTTAAACCCCTAAACCCTAAAACCCTAAAAACCCTAAACCCGANNAAACCCTAAAGCCCTAAACCCCAGGTGGACACCTTTGCCGAAGCGCGCGAGCGGGATGTCCTGAACCTGGCCGAAGAGATGGAGCTCCTGGGACTAACTAGGGCAACTATAACTATAACCCCAAGTAGGGTA